ATATATATATATATATATATATATATATATATATATATATATATATATATATATATATATATAGGTGAATATTTATGTTAAGTAACTTTCAACGCTTTTAATGTTAAGTAACGGTTTTATGGTTTACGAGGGGTTTGAATATATCTTTGGAGAATATTGATTTTATGCGTGGATAGACTGCATTTTTCCCGTGTTACAATTGATGGTACTTGGAGTGGTAGGTTGATTGTTGTAAAAATTGTTTTCTACCTTGGCTGTAGTCTCTTCTAGTTTTTGAATTTTTAATTCTCGATGAATTTTTCATTTGTAATGAACCAAGGAGCATTTAGAGTATTTCCTAGAAATATATTTTGGATTAGTTTAATTTTATAACATTGTTGGGAACTGCACCTCCCCAAATTGGGTATCCATAACTTGTGGTAGGATGGATAATGGATTTTAAATAGTAGCAGTCGGCATTCGATTTCCAATGTAGATCGTTGGTTTAGTATGGAAAATAATTTTGAAGTTTTTATTCTAGTTTTAATTACTACTACATTGATTTGTGTTAATATTTTATCAAATAAAATGCCAAAGTATTATCGTACCTAGTATTGTTAGCTCAGTTGGATTTCGTGGTCTAGATATGTTAAACTTTTTGATTCACATTTATCTAGGTTAGTTTTCACTCTCCAATTCTGTGTCCAATTTATGTACTCATCAAGATGATTTTTGATATGATCTTTCACTGCTAAGATATCTCAATTTGTAGAAAATAGGGCAGCGACATCCGCATATGTTCTGTTCACAGTGGATGGGTATATAATGTATATGAATATTGAATAATGTTGGGGAGAGCACTGATCCTTGAAGTACTCCTGCAGCTATTGGGTAAGAATCTTAAGTTGAGTTCTTGTTCTGTTAGTATGAAACTTTTAATAAGTTTTAGTAGGTATTCGGGGGTTTCCAATCGATGTATTTGGTATACAAGTCCTCAGTGTCAGAAACAATCATAAGCCTGGCGTAAGTCTGGAAACACTGTTTCTGTGTGTTACGTAGAGTGAGTGATTGCTTTGGTTAATCTTGGTATCTAGGAGTTGACAGGTGGTAGAGTGATTTGCTTTGAAACCAAACTAAACTTGCTCTTCTTAATGCAGAATTGCAGGCAGGGATTTTGCTTATCAAGGTTATACACATCCGCTCTCTTCACAGAAAAATATATCTTTTGAACCTAATGGAACATTACCTAAACCTGGTTCTTATTGTTATAATACTGTAATGCTCTAGAGAGTGCAGTTGAGATCATAGGATTACAGAACAAATTATGTTTTTACTAAATGAGCAATTTGTAAAAACATTATAGCAGGAGAACACTATGTTTCAACCAAAAATTTAATATGGTTTAGAAAGTAGAGAATAAGGGTGAGGGTGTTCGAAAAAGCCTGCCTTCCTTTCTGTAAAAATGGGATGTCAACACAACGGAGTCACTCCAAAGATCACTGTTCCAGGCTGAAAACTTTAAGACAGACATGCAGAATAGAATCATCCCATAAGAGCGTCAGATTACTCAAAGATACTGGAAAGTGAATTATGATTTCTGCTTCACACTTAAGTATTATTACGAAAAATAATTGTAAAATTGAGTGTTGAATTAAAAGTAATAAATAATGCAAATTACTTACATTGTTATTCAGGGTTAGTCATATAAAAAACGCCCACTCTATGTTCAAACGCCAACTCTACTCCCGCCTACTCCCGTTTAAATATACTAAATTCAATAATCACTAATTTATCGAAAAGAAACTCAAAAAGAAAAGAAATATCTGCTTTCAGTTTCTTTCCTTCCTATGGTGAACTGCGGGCACCACCGACGGAAGTTTAAGTATATGTAGGATTAACCTTCGTGGAAGTGATTGATGTTAATTATTATATTAACTTATCTACAGGTTTTTCTTGTGTTATATTGTTTGTTTACATTTTAAATCATCATCCCATAAACAATTTATTGAATTGGTAAAGATTTACTAGAATATTCCGCTCCGTCTTGGGTCTACTTCTTTAAGAACTGTCAGTGGTTTAATTATGTATTCACCTATCACACACTTCATGGACAACGTTTAGAAACGAAATCTGTTGATTTTGTAAGAGCTTTTTAAGAATGTTACAGATAAGAGAAGTTTTGTGACAAGCAGAGACTTTTGTATATCAAGGGTGTGGAAATATATAAGTATCTAATCTCTCCCAAAACGTCGATTGGAGAGTGAACACGCATAAAAGAATTTTACTCAACAGTTAACGTAAATTTTTCTCGGTTGTGATTTGCTTCACAGTTTTTATCTTCGGAATATCTCGATAGCTTTTTTCACGAGAGTCTGCAAATGTGATGAATTTAAAGATAATGGAAAAATTTCATTATAGAATGATGTAGTTTTAAAGGATGATGTATTCTGTATGCTAGTTGCTAAAAAAATAACATGGCAAAGAACAATGTTATACAAGCAGTAATAATGCATTTGGAAATATTCAAGACCTGGCAATGAAACTGCAAGTACATACCAATTTAGGGAAACATTATAAAAAATATTTTTTAAGAGAAATAATGAAAACCTTTAAGTAAAATAAATGTAGATGAAATTTCTACTTTGATTTTCTCGATGTTTTCGTTTTTTAAAAACGGACTATTATTCAATTAGAAAATAATCCTCATTTTAAAATTAGTTGTGATTCAAATTGCTTTATCGATATCAATTGGGATAAGAAAAACAGTGTTTAAGGCCAACAGTCTGAAATTCCATAAATTTTTTAGAGATCTTCAATATTTTGAGGTAGATTTTATGAGTTAATATTCTCATATTTAGCAATTAAACTATTTCATACAATGACAGAAAGCGATGAGAAATGCTTTAAAATGAAGTAAAATAATTAAATTGCATCCAGTGGAGAGTGATATAGAGAAAATTTAAAAAAAATCGTTTTAAAAGAAATAACTAATGATAATAAAAACTCCGTTTTCCGATGTCAACGATTCAGGGTGGTCATTAGGCAAAGGAAATTCCAATAAGTTTTAAAAGCCATTATTTTTACGTCATGGGAGAGCATACAACTTTTTCTCTAATTACTGGAACTCATTCAGAAATCTATAATTGCTTCTAAAGGTAATTATTCGGGAAGAGGAATCGTTACTAGTTCTACTTTTCTTTGGAGAGCATTTTAAATGACTTTATATTTAAACAAGTAATTGCACAAATAATAAATAGTTCTGACGTATTACATAGTGATGCCTTCCACATTTTTTCTTTGTTCTCCCAAAATAAAAATAGTTTTTGAAAATCTTACCATGGATCAGACGGAGTTCTATACTCTTTTCGATAATGTATTATTTAAACAGTAAAACGATATTTCTTTATACCACTGATGAGGAAAATTTTGTCATGATTATAATTTCTTATTGTCTGAAGTCTTATTAAAAGAACCAACAAATGTATTGTTTCATGATAGTAGTTACTGCGTCATTTAACTAGTACAATTATTGCAAATCTTTCAATGCTTCATTTGATATAAAACTATCTCGTATACTTTTTCAACTTGATTTTTTATTATCTTTGAGGACAAACATGCTGTGATGTTAGTTGTCTTCTTCAAACGTATTAATTGTAACACATTATTTTCTGAAAATATTTTGTAAAATATTGATTTGACCTTAAAATTTCTCCTAGAAGTAAATTTATAAACCCATGCGAATAACACTTTTAAAAGAGCGTAGTTTTGTAATGTTTTGTAATCTACTCAGATACTTCGACAAGAGGCAGAGAAGCATTCAGAATGCATTCGTTTTGAGAATAAAGCATTCTTGTAACACTTTGAACTCTTAGAATAAATACGTAATCGAAAAAAACATTTCAGATAATTATTTTCAGTTCACAGGATTCGCTTCTTGAGTTTTGCAATCAAAGATTGCCACTTTAATGAGACAAGTGTAAAAGACCCACACGCTAGTTCGCGATTAGATAGGGCAAGTATGTCAAGCGATATCGTTGAATGACAACATCAAAAGGATTCCGCGAGAAGCATTAAATATTTATAAAAAAAAAGGTGAAAGGAAAAGGAAAGAATGAGCAAAAGGGAAAGTGAAACAGGTAATATTGACAAAGAATTTTGTGTTAAAGAAAAATTGAGATAAAAAGAGAGAGAAAGAGAGAGGGAGACAGAGAGAGGGAGAGAGAGGGAGAGAGAG